ATGACTATTCCTGTGGCGTTATATGCGATTCAATGTACAGAAACCCTCAACTTTGGCAGCACGCCAGGCTGCGATTTTGAATTATAGTAAATTTACACTCAATGGTCATAAAGCACTCATGAGGAACGTAAAAATGAGGTATAAGTTGATCCTCCATTTTATTTAATAAAAGTGGTTGAACCCGTTCAAATAATAAAGTGGGGGGCTTTTTGAAAAGTACTGTACACTGTGGGTACGCCTACTTGGTGAAACTCCTCCAACGTGTGGTCGAACAATACGATTTGCTGTTGATTTCGCAGATCCAGGCCATTTTTAATTTTTTGAGAGGTAAAAAATTGAGTGTGTCGATTCCAGAAGGTGAGAGAGGGTATATCTCAATTTTATTTTTTTGCTCTTCTAACCTCGATAATTCTACGCAGCTTTCAGACGTATGTTATTTCATACATACATTTACGCGTTCATTTCTCCTTAAAACTAGAAATGATAATAGTTATTTACCTAACAGGTGTGGAAAGTGATACTTTTCTGCATGCAGCGGCAGTTGCATGAACGACGTGAAACGGGTAAGATTTTTTCTAACAGCGTGCAGAAAGTACTCATTTTCAACATGCATTTGCGTGCAAAAAGTAGCACCTGTGCGGAAAAGTTATGCGTGCAAAAAGTACTACTTTCTGCACGCACATGCGTGTTGCAAGTGAGTACTTTCCATACGCTGGTCTAAACAAATATTTTCGATACCCTTGTCGAGCGGATTGAGGATAGAAGAAGGAATTTATTAAATCTATCAACCTAATTTTGACCAGACACACGAACTTTTCGATATTGAGATGCTATGTTTTTTGGATTTTATATGACGTGTCGATCACGTAAAGACATGTCACTTATTTCCGTCGCCCTGTCTGCCTGTCTGTCCGCTGACCCTTGACCCCTCTAAAAGTATCGCTCGGATTTTGATGAAATTTTCACACAATGTTACTAGTACTAAGAAAAAAAAATAAAAATCGCACCATCTTTTTTTTGACTCAAGCTCCTGTTCATTCTCATAAAATTTTTTGGTAGGGTTAAAAATTGGGGGTTAGGGGTTGCAGCGTCGGGTAGGATGTATCTCATTTGTTTGAGGTAGGTATATTTATACACATCCAACCCTAGTAATTCTTGGTACCTATTAGGCATATTTCACTCATAGATGTCCTCGTCTGTTTAATCTTGAAACTTAGAAATATCTACAACAGTCGCGTGTCAATGGGAGCGACGTGGTTCCCGATGGACGAGCGTCGAACGCCACAATCCACAATCGCCACTGCACTGCTGTGGGATGTACGCACTGTGCATGATAAAGACCTACTTCCGCATTCAAGCGAGATTGGTCATCGCAAAGATCTTGTGTGCCTGCAGGAGTTTCTCTCAGTGGGAGAAGAAAGGTGATTTAAATCTTTGTTATACATATTCCTATCTATCTTTTTTCTCAGAAGGGCCAAAATGTTCCAAACATAATCCTTTATGAACTGATGACAGCGTTGCGTGGCAAGTATAGAGTCAACTTATTTGCGTTTATACATGGGCGTAGTTTTTCTCCAAAAACTCATGCCGAACATAATCTTTTATGGAGTGATATGGCAACGTTTCATGCAAGTGCAGAGTCAACCTACTTTACGCCATTTTATTCATAGATCTACTCACTTTATAGTACATTGTATCCCAGAATAAGACTCTCATGCAATATTCCAGGAAAAACTCCCAAATAATTGAAATATTTAGTTATTTGAGTACGAATCGCTGAATGGCATATCATTCAGTTACGACTGTAGTGTGAATCGTATCTATCGCATAAATCCGCACAATCAGTCTGTTGCAGCAGCATCAGTGCAAATAGCAGACGGTGAACAGACAACGCCAATTTTAATTTATAATGCTCCCGATGCCAATGTCTAGATCGATTCGAATTTATATCGATATCAATTCAATATGCGCCACGTGTCTGTGACTGTTTGCAATTTGTTCGCAGCCAGGCCTGCCGACCGGCCGGTTTTTTCCGTCCGACTGTATAAGATTTATCAAACTGGTAAATTAGCCTGACAAATGGGCACGCTTTTTCGCGGAATATATTTCTTCGGTGATGGATTAGAACAGCCTCGCGTAAATGATTCAGTCATAAACAAATGTTTTCAGTATTGCACGCTAAAATGGAAACGACAGGTACAGAAGGCACAGTCTGGGGGTAATTATGAAATGTTGTTCGGCCGTCTATCGTACCATGCTATTCATACAATATCTAATGATTTTACTGGGTGCTACATAATGGTGCGTTTAATCAGTTTAATGAAGAAAACCAATGCATGAAGTGTTTTTGTGGAGCACTTGCCTGATGCTAATGTTATGGGAAATTTAACAACAGTTATACGGAACAGTTTATCAATAGATGTCACTTAAGGCCTATTCATACTCAGCCGTGACATGACAGAGCTGTGACGGACACGTGATCCGCCCGCCGAAACTAAAAACATTCTTCCTGGAATTTGAATGAACTGATTCACACTAGACCGGCACGTGGAAGTGGCCGTGTTTTCAATGCGCTCGATGACGCGAGGAGTAGCCTAGGTGATGTTGAGGTCGATTTGGATGCTATGGAATACCTGGCTAATTGAAAGCTCAATCTATCTAGAATATTTCGTAGGTCTAGAACTAGCGATTCAATCCCTACCAAACGCCTTCCTTTGGATATACTAACAGATACAGGCCAATCCATTTAAAAAATGCATGTTTGTGTTGTTACGTCGTTATTAATCATTAAGTAAGAGATAGTTGCGTATATTTTTTGTATAAAGCTATTTTAGTTATCTCTCACAATAACGGATCTTCCGAAACATAGATTATTTTGCTGAGTCCTACAAGCTTCTCTTCAGAGGCAGCTTATCTGATCTACCAGTCGTATCAAAGTGATGCGAAGTGCACATTTCGGCAGCTATCAATTTCTCAAGCCTGGTGGCGGTTCCATGTAATCGCCCTGCGAAGAGTAATTAAGTCCTAAAACCTTCAAGTTTAAGCCGGGCTGAAGGCGGGAAGGAGGGCGCCAATATTATCAAAGGGGAGAGGGAAAGACGGCGAGGTGGTGTGCAACCCGCCCGGAACTAATCTCGATCGATCTCACCCGCATCAGAAGTTGAGGTGAGCTACCATTACACGGCTTGGCTACTGCCGAGTCTTATCCTCACTTCAATCCCACTTCCTTATACTACAGTCGCTGAAGGTCCAAGTGGACGTAGACACATTTTGAGTTCCTAAATGATACAGTTCCAGCCTGTGTACCATAGGTCATCGCAATATCCGGGAAAAATAGTTCCCGGTCAAAATGGCACGAATTTTAATGTCGCTACCGACTTCATGTTTGTTTAGCCGTTGATTAGAAAAGCATTGCCTTAACGCCGCTGTAACCCATCTACAAAACTTTCTTTCTTCGACTTTTTTGGGGAAAACATCTTTTGTGAAGTCTTTCCTATATAATAATGACGTTGCGTTCTGTAATATTCCGAGGCGGGAACCGCCACGGCACGGAGCAGCCGTGATGCAGATGGCGACCCGGCATATCTTCGTAGATCTTTGACTTGTGGCTAAACATAATCATAAACTAAGTTGTACATAATTTAATGGAGATTGTTTTTCTTACAGTGCTTGAAAACCAAAAAGCAGTAGCTCTCATACTTCTTGATTTTACTAAAGCACTTGACACAATTGGTCATTCACTTCTTGTGTCTAATTGCAGCATGCTTATGGATTTTCTGAAAAACCTCTTTCGTTTATTCAAACCTACAGTAGATATTGGTTCTAAAATCTCGTCGAAATTAACACAAATTTTGTTCTGGTATACTACAAGGATCTGTCTTATTTTCATCACACAAGATGTCCGCAAAGTGGGGGTTTTCCTTTTCAGATACAACTACGCTTGATATAACAAAGCTAATGTGCGGTGAAACGTGAGCCAACAAGTTAAAAAATAAATGGAAAAGCACTCACTGTTCAGTTGAATTGAAGCTCTGTCGTAAAGTCCGTATTTACATCGTAGTCGTACGTCGTTTAACTGTATCCTGGCCTAGCGCTGTAGACGTGATGGAGGGGTAGGACTGTGCCGGCTTCGGTTTGGTTCAGATCTGATTGAGTTTGCGGAGCCCAATATCTCGATTCTCCTAAGACATTAGTACATTGGACACCCTGTATATTTCAGATATAGAAACAGAGGTAAAATCATGCATCATAAGGCTTTTTGCCGACGATACTCAGATCTTCTATTCATTTACGAGTAATTACTTGGAAACAGCTAATAATGACATTAATCAATATCCTGTCCAAATTGAAAGTTTAGTAGTAGTCATAATCTCAGTTTAAAACCTTTGAAGACAAAAAGTGATGCTTTAAAAGATAACTTAAACATGAGTCTAAAATGTAATAAATTGATTCCTGTTGATTATTCTAAGAACCTAGGTACTGTAATAAATTCAAATTTGTTGAACACGTAAACCATCTAGTTTCTCAGTGTTACGCTATTTTCAGAATTTTATTTGCAAATAAGGCTCTATATGACATAAATCAGCGAGAATGTGTGAATTTTTCTTGTTTCCGGGAATGTCGTATTGCTTAGTGAGCATATACGTAGGGGAAATATCCATGACATTTACGTTAGATATGGGGAAACTTTTCCAATTCCTTGCTACAGCACATCTCTATTTAGTGCGATCAAATTTCGTAGATTAGACCGTTGTCTAAAAGAAACTAAATTATTACTCAAATTCAAGAAGAGAGTGTAAGAAACTCCATTTGATCAGCGGCGAAATATGTTGTAGTCATCAAGTGTTAACTGACCTGATGTTCTCTTTATGCTTAAATATTGTATGCAGGTAACAATTTTCAACAAATTGTCAGTTTTTATATAATCATCTTGTATTGTTAAGGGGGTTTCAGGTGGTAGAGTATATATAGTATAGCTTTATGGTACGTGTACACTGTAGAGAAAATCTACCTAGATTTTAGATTTAGATACGTTCTCTAGGTGAGACTTGTGTATGTTCTGTGTACACTATAACATATTTTGGCCCTCGCTAGACCTTCGTAGATATTTCCTAGATTAAATCTATACCAATTTCTCTATGTGGTGTGTACATAACATGGTAGATTTGATCTCGTAAAAACGTATAGGCATTATTGCACCGTAGTTTGTTGGAAGTAGTTTGAAATATCGCGAATTAAGAAAATTGCAGCTGCCTCTGTTATTTTAATAACGAAGAAGACAAAAAATGTTGAGCTAAAAAACAAGAAGAGAAGGATGTGGGTTAGGAGCTGGATTTCAAGAAGACTGGATAGTGGTTTTTTTGCGCAATTGGTGAAAGAATTACACAGCGAAGACATGAATTCATACGCCAACTTTTTACGCATGAGTAATAAGGACTATGAATACTTGCTTCAAAAAGTTGAACCATTGATTACAAAACAAGATACTCATCTTAGGCTAGCTATTTCACCTTCAGAACGGCTCATGCTTACTTTACGGTTTTTAGCAACAGGTGAGTATTGAAAGACATGAGTTTGTTTTCTAGGATGTATTTAACTTAAAAAGCAAATAAAAACAACTTCTAATTAAATCATTTTTAATTGTAGGAGATATCTATCATTCCCTGCAATACCTTTTTCGGATTCCAGTCACGACCATTTCAAGGATTATACCTGAAGTTTGTGAAGCGATATTTACTTTGCTGAAAACGGATTATCTCCAGGTAAGTAATTTTCGTAAAACTGCCTGATTGGAGGAAGGTTTGTAGTTGTATTTGTTATCGGTGCCTCTTCAAAACTTTCAACCGTATTTGAAGTTGATGGGTATGTACTCGAATGTGAATAAGTAGGCGACATTAAAGGTGTAAGTGTCCTTGATCCATAAAACTCCACTTCATCTTCCTCGCTCATTGCAACTATAGCTTTCTGGATTATTCGTTTTAATCTTCTTTTTCGTTCATCAGAACGCAGCTGCCGTAATTCACTAGCAACATATTCACCAAATACGGTATACTCGTCAGTTGGTGTATTTAGTATGTTTTTAGCCTTTTCTAGCATTGCATCACCTTCCTCGTCCGTTTTTTCCTTGGCTTTGGTTTTTAGTTTTTTCGAACGATGAGTTGTAGTATTTGATGTTGTTGGTTTTTCTATGCTTTGTAATTGAGACTCCTCCAGAAAATCTTCCTCTTGCGACGAAACCTGAAATAAAACAAAAGTAGCGAATAAGCTTATTTTTAGTTTTGTAATATTACTTTTTCTTTTAGATCCCAAACTCTCAGAATATCAAGAGCAAGGCGTGTAGTTGAAAATGCTTTCGGACTGATCTCGGCTCGATTTCGTGTTCTTAGACGACCAATAGACCTACCTCCAGAGAAGGTTAAAAAAATTGCAATATGTTCTTTGCATAATTTCTTACTGACCCAAAAAAGTTCGGCACATTTATATGCCCCAATTGGAATATTTGATACTGAAAATGATGGGAACGTTATCAATGGGAGTTGGAGAAGTGGAGGAAATCCTAAAGGTAATATAGTTCCTTTACAGACTACAAATGTTAGAAACCCATCGAAAACAGCCAAAGAAGTACGAGAACAATTTAAAAATTATTGTGTATCCAAACATGGTGAAGTCGCCTGGCAGTATAAATATATATAAACATAATACCATTTTATCTGCTTAATGTAATATATGTTTCTAATACTGAAAAAATATTTACTCACCGTATCCCTAAAGTTTGCAGTGCTTTTGGTGCTCCCAGAGCAACCCATAATGAACTGTAACGCATCATAAAATTCCCACTTACTTTTCCACAGTCTATCATCAGTTCCATCTCCACTTTTGGTTTTTTTAGTTTTCCTTATCTCCGAATTCATTTGACACCTTAAATTATGCCATTTTCTTCCAACTTCGGCTTCAGTGGTTTTTAACTGATCTGCTATATTTTTTATAGCTTGAGCCTTTTTATCCCGATCTCTGTACTCCTTCAATATGCAATTCCAAAGTTCTGGATGTGCCTCGCACATCTCAATTAGCTTGAGAGTACTTTCTTTGTCCCATTTCATAGATTTTTGCTCATTTACACTTGGTGGGGAAGCCGTGCTTTCAACTAATCTATTTAACTCATCGAATAGAGCGAAACAATGCGAGAGTGATCTAGAGAACTAGTCTCAGTACTGTGTCCACTACAACCCTACCTAGACTAACGTCGCGGTACCGAGAGTATTACGCCACACTCGCTAGAGCAGTCTCAGTAATATGTACACTATAGACTTAGTCTAAAGCGACTCTAGCTAGCGCAAATCTCGGGGAAAAATCTATAGTGTACACGTACCATTAGAATCTAGCCTCCTGTACATAGTATTACAAATAAAAAAGACGTTAATTATTTTTCGCGCTAGACGCTTATAATTTTTGAGTTATCGCAGGAAATTGAGGTTGACATCACTTTTTTCTATACAAACGGCCAGTATTGTGGTTTCTCAACATATTTAATTTTGTCCTAGTCAAAATTATGTCAGACGATCCCATCCTAAGAAATAGATACCACCATCTGGTCAATCTGTATCACGACTTGTAACTCTTAAAGTTTTTTAAAAGTAATTCATATTTACTATTTCTATATGTAGCCTGTGAGATCATCAACTCGTTGACATTAGTCGTACCTTTTTCATCTTAAGTTATTCATGCTCTTAAATTCGCCATTATTCCAAAGTTTATTGCTCGAATAGAACTGAGCTGCTACGAAAGCAAGAGAATCAAACTGGCAATGAAACGATCAAAATGTATATTTTGTTTATGCTACGCAGTAGCACAGCATAGATGAAATTCCAGTTAGCCGAGAAAATTTGTTACATATCCACATTGTTGCTGGACACATGGAATTCTCTAAATAACTTGGATTCCCAATGACGTCTGAGTATTCCGATTTTCGAATTCCACCACGATCCAGATTTCCGTGGACCGAATTTATTATTTAATAGTATAAGGGATATGGCCAAAAATGCATGCTAGCAGTATCTATAAGTTATCAGATCATAGAATATGATTCTTCTTTTATAAGGCCAGATAATAGGTTGTTCTTACTTTTCCTGCCCGGAACTTCTAGGTAGTACGGTATACCGGGAGTTTTAAATTCGACCCTGAGATCTTGGAAACGGTAAGTTGTACGAAGTCGCTCAAATGGAGGCAAAGTTGAGTTTTTAGGTAACTAACAAAATGCTTAGAAGTACTTCCGGAGAGGGACATGCAAAACCGAGCATTCCCAAAATGATTTTAGTTTTTCTCTGACTTTATTTTTGGTGGCATTTCAAAATAAATTGCACATCAACATTGCCACCAGTTCGTCTCTACAAGACGACATCAACTTAATTTTTTCTCAAGGACGCCATGTTGGATTGTTACATAGGTGGATGAAGTGTTTTATTGTCATTTCAAAAATCTATACTACGTCATAAATTAAGATTGTCAAGCCTTGGTGTTAAAAAAGCAATTTCCTGGGAAGGCTTTGAAATTATGAGTCATTTATTTCGCATACCAGATATATCCCAAAATCATTATCATATTTCCTGACTTTATGTTAGATGGAATTTTAAAATAAATTTCATGTTGTCTTTGGCCCTTATTCTCATCTACAAGATGGCGTGGTTAATTCAAGGTTTCTTCTTTCAACTTCCATCAGCAACTTTCTTTTTCCGTATGGATGCTGTATTGCATTTTTGGACATTTAAATGGACCCTATCCTGGATTTTTCAACCGACCGGTTACTTCTAGGTAAGTTTGTTCTTTTGCCAAAATCGAATCAATGGCACCTAAGGCATATGATAGTAAAAATAAAGCATCTTTCAATGAATTACCATGTACATCAGTGGAAAATAAATTTAGATCTTGTCACTTTAAGATCCGAAAAGTCCCTGATCCATTCTACCTACCGTTTCATCATGCAATTTTCTCACGGAACACCCTCTATATCCCCTTATGGTGATTGCAGCATTTCATCACGGTGGATAACCTCTCGCTAAATGTTGATAATGAATGTTTTGGCATCATTCTATTCTTTCCTATGTGAATGTGAACTGTGCCTGATTTCAACATCTTAAACCAATTCTGTAGTCTTCGTGCTGCTAAAACCCCGTGTTTTTCTAACTCCTAGTTGAAATCACATACATAGAAATGAATTTTTAGTGAGGTTTTGGGTCACCGTGACTTCCTAATTAATTAAAAGATACTTATACATCTATATCTGCATATTACGACAGGCGTCATGAAACGCATAACACTGTTGTACGACTACCGTTTTATGGGATGTAACGTCTATGGAGTTACAGGACCTCCCGCAGCTTAAGCACTAGAGGAGTGCGTTCAATCCTGGATTCTTGTTGAACACAATCGCGGGGGGTTTTAATTGCACCGAAGGTGTATTTTATCGCTGGCGGATCTGAATAGCGCATAATTTTCTACGCGGTTTAAGCGATTTGCATGTCGATATGATTTGTAAGCGCTCGGCTAATGCGAACTACAATTTCCTGGGGAGATTTGTCACGCGCCAACTTTGTACTATATATTATCGCGCAAACTGGGAAATTACCGAGCAAACAGGATGACGGGAATGCCTGTTCGCGACTATACAATAAAAATTTTGAACCTGTTGTATAACCTCTAGCTGACTGTTGGGACATTTCAAGGGATCTTACTGCAAACGTTTCAGTTTCTTACAAGCAGATAAGAAGTACCAGAATAGCTGAAATATTCTCAGAGTGACGTTTTGTAAAGTGCACTTTAATCCCCACTACAGACTATGAGAATAAGGAGACAAACCAATTCTTGACTAGCGCCTTCTATCTAGTTTGAATGCGTTGGAGAAAGGACAACTTTTTGTTCAATTCGCATTAAAGACATATTGTCTACACGTTATTGTGTGAGGGGGTACCCAAAAAAAACGGAATTATTTTTTACAATCTACTTATTTTCAACTTTTTCACAAAGGTACCTTATTTCCGTCAAAGTACTGTCCACTACAACTAATACACTTGTCCCACCGGTGCTTCCACTGCTCGAAACAGTGGCGGCTCGTGGCAAAATAAAACAGGTGTTCTCCAAATCCGAACTTACCTATTTTTTATATTATGTCAGTTCCTTCTTGGCAGCAAATTTGTCGATCACCTTCCCGTTGAAATTTTCCATGGTCGAAATAAATTCCTTTTCAATGGACAGCACCGACAACGCTGCAAGGCGATCCTGGGTCATAGTATTACGAAGAAAAGTCTTGATTCTTTTCAATGTTGAGAAATTTCGCTCAGCCTCTGATGTTGACATATGAGTTGTAACAATAATATTTAATAGCTTTTTTGTTTCCTTTAGTGTTTCCTCCAAACTATTTTGTATCAAAAATTTCAAGAGACAGAGTTCCATGTAAATCTCGGTAATCATACCGTGCATAAATAACAGACAACGACTTTTCTAATTCGGGATAAGCCAAGCAGGTAGTTTCCAACTTGTCATCAGGAAACTTACCTCAGTATTCTCCAAAGTGTTCGAGGAAAAAAAAGAGATGCGGCTAACTCGGTGATCGTGACTCCTATTATTACGTCGTCTCCTTTCGTTGCCTTGGGGTTGAGTGCAATTACTTTTGGCTTCATTTATTATGTCATCAATTTTATTTCTCACATCGACAATATATTTTTCAAAATTATCGATAGCCGTTTTAGTTTGCGCTGGCTCGGTGTTTCTCTTCTGCAACTGGTTGAACAAGATGTCGTCGTGATGCATGACATGATCAAAATATGTCAACCAAAACACGAAAACAGAATCGTTTAACATACGGCGATTACCGCAAGCTGCCTTGCAAACGGTTTCGTTAGTGAAATTTTCTTGAATTTCTTCCATGCATTCAATGAGTGATTCTCTGTTCTCAAACACTACATTTATTGTTCGAA